GGAGTCAACAATATCCTGTTGCTATGAAAAATATTAAGAAACAAGAAAGAGGTGGACCAACTGGAGAAAGTTGGGGAGAACAACGGAAACAGTCAGTGGTCTGAGGAACTTGGTTTGCAAAGGAAGATGGGGAGAATTAGATTCATCTAGCTGAGAAAACAGATGTGCAAAATAACAGTAACCCTTCAAATAGATTAAAAAAAGAGAAAAATGTGTATAGAGAAAGAATATACTAGTTTCCCAGTACTGAGGATCCAAGAATTAAAAAAATAGAGCTAAGAGATTTCTTCCATCCAAACAGAGGACAAACTAAATTATGTTCAAAGAGATCTGCCTAACCTGTTCTTAATAATTATGGATTCTACAATCTATTTAAGTATCTTAACAATTATAGATTCTACAATCTATTTAAGTATCCTTACCACTGGAAATTATTGCCACGTGTCCAGTTTTCATCCATCTTGTACAATTCAGGCCTAATTCTGATGCTTTGTCTTTGGGGGACACAGATCCACGATATATTCATTTCCCCTCTGCGGGAACCCTTAATACATTTTAAGAACATTACGGTGTCTCGGTGCTGAGGAAATCTTAATTTGGACACTAATGTCTTTGGACACGTATGTTTATGCCCAGTAAGTCCCTATACAACTCCACTTTGCCACCAATCATGGCTTACAAAACTGCCTGAATTGCAGAACACGGGTTACTTAAAACACACATGTAAGAAGGTAGCATCTACAAGACTTGCCTCCAATTTTACCTACAGTATCACAGTAGCTTGTGCTCTCCACAATGTTTGGGAGGATGCTGGGAAAAGGGTAAGAATTTTTGCTTGAAGAAAACTACTGCTTGGCTTGCATGCCCAGTACAAGTGCCAATTTTCATCTTTACATCTTGGCCCCGACAAGCATAAAAAATAAAACCTGCCCTTTATTCTCATACCTTAGCCACGCAGGCAACACGCAAGAGTAAATGCAACACTGTGTGTTGCTGTAATAAATACAGCAGTTTTGTCTACTGCTTAGTTCATTTGTCGTTGCTTTTTTTACGCCTTTATAAGAGTTCAATATTTTAATAAAAGCATTAAATAAAATTTCCTGACTCATTTCCAAAGCAGTTTCCCACCAGTATATTGTTCAAACAAACCAATTTATTATTAATCTAAGTAATAAAATACACAAAAGTATTCCAAAAGCTGTTGCAGGCATTACAGCTGCATGTACATTAGTAAGAAAGAATAAATGCTTGTAAAAATTATGATATTAGCTAAAATGCCAAAAGTGGAGTCTGGAAGCGCATGTTAAATATTTATCTACTCTATTTACTCCTTGACGAACAAGTTTTACATAGTTTTTACATATGAATTTTACATAGCATTTGCATACAGATATGGTGAACGTTTAACCTTTCCACTTCTTTACGTGGCCAGGAGCCACTGAGCTTCTGGATACGGACTGACAGACATGGCTCGTGGCTCATAGTAGAGCAGACACGCACTGGTGACATCCTGGAACCAAGAATGATGCTCCTGCTACTCTCAGTCCTGCTCTCTCACCCACCGGTTATGTTTCAGTTATATTTCCTTCTTATCCTTGACAATCATCAGCATTGGGTCCAACTTCCATTCCCACAGCAGGTCACCTCTGAAGCTTCTCGCTGCCCCTCTCTCGGTGGCTGCCCCCATCCAGCAGAGACAGAACATCCTGTCAATGAAATGATGAAAAAATATCTTTTTTTTTATCCACAGAAGGAAAATGAATAATCTCTTCCTTTCCCCCCGCCCTTTACTGTTCAACATCATGGCAAAGCCAAGTGGGTGTATGTTACGTGATGAACCGATAAAAATTCTTGCTAGCTACACTGCCATGTTAGAAGAGATTAGGACAATCAGACTAGCCCCTTGTTACCAATTCTGACTTTATACACCATTTCACAACTAGGAAGCCTTAGAGGATGTTAATCTGCTGGAAATCCAAGAGTGGGAGAGGAAATAAAATGCTGCCAAGTTATGAGTGTAATTCTATCTTTGCATAGATAGAAATCATTCACTGCCTGCTGACTGAACAAAACCAAAGCAGCAGAGAGGGCACCAGTACAACGCACCCTGCCTTGCTGACTTCTCCGATATGCAAAAGTTTCAAGCATCACAGACCAAAAGAAAAGGAAAAGTTTATGCAAACTTGTAATGTCCTTCAGAATGATATCACGTTGGAACCAGGAACTTCTTCCCCTTATTCAGCCTTCAGAATCTATTGCACAGGCCACCTAAGATAATGCCTGAATGTTATTAAGTGTTACTTCCCACCAGCATTCTGAAGGGACATTACAAAGACAGATGCACTTTCTGAAACATGCACTTCTGCAAAGTCTGTAATTTCATCTTTGAGTTCTTTTTATTAGGTACTAATGCCACAATCAAGGATTTAATTTAATTTATTTATTTTTTGCTAGGACTTCCTGTTGGATCACAGATGCAGTGAAGAGCAGAGAAACAAGAAGGCTCCTGCCCTCAACTGCCCTTAAAGACAAACTGTTGCAAAGAGCATCATCTATAAAAAATAAATTCATGTATAGTGCAAAAATCCCTCACAGTTAATGTTGCTGTTCCCCCAGTATAAGGAAAGAGAAGGTGAATGCCTCCTACCTGGCTGTAGGTCCAGCTCCACCAATGTTTTCCCTCAAGGCTGTTCATCCTTGAACAGACTGCAGAGCAACTCCTAGTTCTTCTGGGTGCACAGCCTGCATGGTGCTGTCTTCTGTATCAGAAGCTGTTCTAGGCTGCAAGGAGCTCCTTCAGAGCTGTCACACGAGAAGCTGTTTTGCAGGACTGTGCATATATATGTAAGGCTTTGGTGAGAACCAAGGCAGGACCAAAGCCGCTGATCTTGCAGTGATTATAACTAGCAGGTCTTTCGAGTGCTCTCTGCCTGGGAAAGCGGCCCTCTTGGTGGCCATCTCCACAGCTTCTGCATGATGTTTGCATACCAGCATGAACTATGCTTTTCCAGAAAATCTTGCTGCAGTCACATCTGAGCTTAACTAACATGCTCCACTGCCCACCTAAAAAAACCCTTTGCACATTCTCTTCCAAGAGTTTTTGAGTGGAGTCATGAAGTGGAGTATACAGAAGAAACACAGAATGAAGGACACAACCCCCATGTGAATATAAGTCAGCCACTCGACAAACAAAACCAGACAAGGACAACAGCACGATGTCAAGAGTGAGCTCAGTACAATGCAAAGAGACAACAATTTATTCATTTGTCGCAATCCTGCCTGCAAAAGCAGAATGCATGTGTCCTTCTGTGAGTTCCTTTCTGTTCCCCCCCAATGTCATCAATAGCTTGCCGTGCTCATCATGACACTTGCATGAGGCACCTAGACACATCCCTGAGCAAGGGAGATGGTATATGGCTGAGTATGCTCCAGTGCACAACCCAGAAACCAAGCTCCTAAATCTTTTGTCAGCAGAGGCAGTACACATCTGGTCAAGCCATAGTTTGAGGACTGCAAAAGCAAAGTCTACAACCCATCTGCAGCACACACATGGGAATCTATGCACATGTCTTCCCTCCTAACACATATCCATAACAGGACAGTCTGCCTGACAGAGGCAAATGGGACACAGGAATGGATAGGAGACACCATAACTATGATGTACAATCAGCACAGTGCAAGAAAAAGCACTTTTCCTTCAGTTTTTCTCTCTCACTCTACTCTGATAATGTATTACCAAAATATCCCTTTTCCAGCCCTAAAACTTATCCTTTCAGTGCCCGTCACGTTAGCATGCCGATGGTATCATTGGGATTTATAGCAGTTCTGTACAAGAATTTTCTGCTGTGGGTGAAAAAGCTACAAGAAATGTGCAAAGTTAATCCTCTTCTAATTACTCCAGAAATCCGCATGCTAATGGAATATCATAATAATTAGGATTGCAAAGTAATTAAACTGTGTAAACGTCTGCAAGAGGGAGCAAATTTGCACACTTGGAACGTGCTTTGACTGAAAACTTTTGAGTACCCCACAGAAGGACTGTACTGCTGATGTTCTGCCAGTACGAAAAACGTCAGTGTGGACAAAGTCTTTGTCCTTTCTAACCACAGAAGCACAGGGAAGTAGGGTTGGCACGGACCTCACAACATCACTTAGCCTATCTGCTGCAAGGCAGGACTGACACTACTTACGTCATTCCTGGCAGACCGCATTCTAATCTCTTCTTAAAGGCTTCAAGTGGTGGAGGCTCCACAACCTACCCAAGCAGTCAGAGACCTCTTCCTAGTATCTGACTTGACTCTTTGCTACTGCACTTTAAATCCATTATTCTTTACCCTTTGGCACAGACAGCAGTTTATCCCTCATATACCATTATTCATACACAATTATAAGCTATTACTGTGCCCCTCTGCCCTTGACTTTTCTTCTGCAGGCCAACCAATCCCATTCTTTCTTCGTAAGTGATGTTATCAAGATCTGTGATCATTCCCACTGCTCTTCCCTGAACTTCCTCCAACTGTTTATTCTTGAAGAGCAGTGCCCAAACTGGACAGTGTGTTCCAGCTGAAATCTTTCCAACACTGGGACACGTCTTGCATGTTCTCCTGTTTAGTTACCCCAGTAAAACATTAGTATTTTCAAAACAGCTTGACATTAGTGACTAATGTTGAGACCATGATTCACAATAAGGTCCACATAGTTTTTCAAGGAACTACCAAAACTGCAAAACTATCTTATAGTTATAAAGGTGCTCTTCCTGCCTAAGTATACTTCTCTGCACTTGGCTGAGTAATAATCCACCTTGCTTTTACAAGAACATTTCTTCAACCTGTCAGCATAATTCTGAATGCTAGCCTTGTCTCCCAATGTTTTAGCAGCCCTTCCCATCTTCATGTTATCTAAAAATTCAACACTCATACTCTATTCCATCACCGAGGTCATTAATGATAATAATGATCAAAACCAGACCAACCCTTCCCACACTTCAATATATCTTTCAATTAGAAGGATGGACCATTGATAACTGCTATTTGGTATGGCAATCCAATCAGTTTTGCAGTCTCCATAGCAGTTTCACTGAAGACATGTTTCCCTTGATTGTTTATGAAACTGTTATACACATTAATGTCAAAAATATTACTAAAACTCAAGCTGTTTGGCCTCTGTTGTGCCTTCCCTAGCTACAAGACTTGCTACTTAGTTGTAGAAAGACATTTTCAAGTTTTTAAAAGTCACGTTGGCTGTTACTGAACTCCTTGGTCTCCTTCAGGTGCTTACGCATAATTTGTTTGTTCCACTTTTTCAAAGAACAAAGTAATTTGCCTGTAATTCTCTTTTATCTCTTTATAGACATTATGCTATGTCTTTCCCACTCTTCCAGCACTTGACCTGTCTTCCCTGAGTTCTCAGAAGTAACTACAAATGCTTCTGAGATTGCTTTAGCCAATTCCTTAAGTAACTTAGAATAAAGTTCATAAAGTACAGCTGATTTGAAAATATTAAATATGTCTGAATACATTCTAACCTGTTCTCGCCCTTTTTTAGGTGATTTTACCCACTGTCATAATGTCATAACGTGTGTGTGAGGGTGCATGTAGTATTACTCAAATGCATCAGTGACAGTAGTTTTGATCCCTGAGTTAAAATTTAAGGTAATTTCTTGTCCTCAGGTCAAGCTATAGATTCCTTTAAATCATAAAGCACCTCATACCTTCGTTCATTGTCATCAAGATGAGCAAAGAGCACGTTCTTGGAGATGGCCTTTGCCAGAGCAGTCATAGTTTTATAGTCCTTTGGAATAACCTGTAGAGAAAAGAATGAAGCGTAACTACATGCTTAGTTGTATTTCTTCATAGATCTTGAAATCTATACAAAATTCCACTATTCAAGATAATGGATGCAATTTAATTTCAAACACTGAGACCGGCTTAGGGTATAATATAAAGCCACTAATAAAGTAATAAATTACAGTTTTGATAATGTGAGGATAAGAATTTATGTTCTCAATATGACAACCAGAAAAGAAATATAAGATCCAGGATGAGGGAGGAGAAGGATATCCATAAAGTACTATAATTAGCAGGTACTTGCAGCTGTGTAGTTTCCTTTCAAATCTCATGGACTGAGGAAAACGTATTTCATATTCTTCTTCCCCTACAAATAATATCTGAAGCAACCTACTTTTAAACCTAGGGAACGAGCAACATTTCTCCAGGTAAAAGGTAAAATGTGTTGATTACATCATACTTTTCAGTACTGGTTGCGGTATAAGGAACCAAACTCCAAGAGGCCCACCTGGGTCAAAATTCTGTGCCTTTGCTTCATGGCAAACGAGAAGGACTTGCATTTGAGAATGAAGAGGCATTTTTATTTGTCAACTGGAGAGATGGCAAAAGTTCTGTTGTACAAGAATTTGCTCAAAATAAATGTTGAAATTCAGGGGTATGTTTTCATATCAGGTAAAGATTTTTAAAAGACCTTTGCAAGTTAGGCTTTCCATTTTGGTAAGTATTTTGGTAAGATATTAGTAAAGATACTGTATCTCTGTATTTGCCAAGCATCTTCTTCTGCAAGTCAGAGACTTTGTGATTATGAGAGACCCAAGAAATTTGTAACAAGGTTATGACTTGTAAAAGATGTTCTTTGACTTTAGTAATGTGCTTTTCCTTAATAGTTTCATTATAACGGGACAGAATCAAGCCTAGCAAAAGTTGTAAGTGTTAAATAAGCCTTACTCCAATCTGAAAATCAACATCTGGGCCCAGTTCTGTTTAGTATCTTTATCAATGATCTGGACAAGAGAATCGAGTGTACCCTCAGTAAGTTTGCAGATGACACCAAGTTGTGTGGGAGTGTTGATCTACTTGAGGGTAGCACAGGTCTTATGAGGAGCAGCTGAGGGAACTGGGGTTGTTTAGTCTGGAGAAAAGGAGGCTGAGGGGAGACCTGATCGCTCTCCATAACTACCTGAAAGAAGGTTGTAGCCAGGTGGGGTCAGTCTCTTCTCCCAAGTAACAAGTGACAGGACAAGAGGAAACGGCCTCAAGTTGTGCCAGGGGAGGTTTAGACTGGATGTTAGGAAAAATTTCTTCACAGCAAGGGTTGTCAATCATTGGAACAGGCTGCCCAGGGAAGTGGTAGAGTCACCATCCCTGGAGGGATTTAGAACACGCATAGATGTGGTGCTTAGGGACACGGTTTAGTGGTTGGACTTGGCAGTGCTAGGTTAACAGTTGGACTTGACAATCTTAAAGGTCTTTTCCAACCTAAACAATTCTATGATTTTATGATCTGTTTGCCTGTTTTAATTACTGTACAAAAAAAGGCCTGATAATGGGCATTTATCTTTCATATTTTCTTATGATAAAAATAGTGTATCATCTGCCTTATTTAAGTTACTATGTATGCTGATGTGTAGGTAGCTTCCTTTCCTTTGGAAAGGCAAGATACTACCCCTCCAACCAGAAGAAGGATGTCTCAAATGGGAAAACTGGTGTAGAACCAGTTCTCACAAAGAATCAATCTAGATTTATTTCAAGGAAAAACTCTGTACTGTGAAGATCTAAAGTTAAACTCTGGCTTCAGACATCACTTATATTGACTGCTGTAGTCATTAGACTACTAAATTAAGTCTAGAGAAGCATATATGTATTAACTGCATATTTGTGTCACAGTGAAACGTAATCTAATTTATCTAAAAGTTTCAATTCATCAGTGTTAAATAAAATGAGCATTTGGCCAGTATCTTATTCTTGGTTTTTACCCTATGAAACAAACCCTGGATTGAATTGCAGTCCTGAACCCTTGCTCTATGAAGAATACCCTAGCTGTTCAAATTACTGCTGATGAGCTAAAAGGTAGATAATCAAATCACTAAGACATTCATCTCCAACCTTTCTGGCTGATTATTGAATAGCGTAGACTAGCCTTTCTCAGCCTAAATCTGGAGCAATGAAAGCCACGAGGCAGAGACCAAAGCAAGTCTGTTGGGGCAGGGACACAGAAAACACAGGAGAGATTCTTTAGGTGTCACAGTAACCAGGCATCTGACCAAAATCAAATGTTGGGAAGAATCACTTCATCATTTCTTACATTGCTCTTCCAAGTAACCATTGAATGTTCTCTAGAAGCCAATAACCTTCTTTACAGCAAGATTTCTATTCTGTCAGTTGTTAACTATATGTTATGTCAGATGTGTTGACAAATATTGCTTTCTCTAGTTTCAGGAATGAAGCAATGAAAAACCCTCCACAGAGATCTTCCTGTGTGCTTCTCAGAATGGAGCCATGCCATGTGCTTGCTAAATCACAAAGCTAAATCTCCTTTGATTTTCTCTCCAGTGACATATCTCATTGCACTGCCTTTAGCACACTACTCATCCTATAGCTCACCCCTTCAAGGGATATTTTAAATTGGCTTATGACCCAGATGTGTTTCTATCCAACACCTGAATTCAAGCCAGCAGTTCTTCCTGGCTACTATCTAAAATTTCATGTTTGCAATAGTCTAACACAACCCTTGCCTTGCTTTTTACACTTTTAAATTAGTTTCACAATTTGTCCTTTCAGTGCCCCCCTTTATTTCTGTGTTCTAGAAATCTCCGTCACAAACACACATCCATGGGATATACCATGGGATTCATTTGCTGATGGCAGAAGACAAAGCACTGACACAAACCCTCCCAGTGCTAGTTCTATATTCCTTGCAGCATCTGTAGCCTGACAAGAAACCATCCCCTAAATTATTATTATTTAAGCTCAGTCAGTTCCTAGGAAATTAAAATCATAACAGCCCCAGTCACAGAACACACAGAATATGATCTGTATTGCTTCTTCTGGTTCTTGCCTACCCATGCTACTGTCAGGGCTTACTGGCATCACTGTTGAAAAAGGAAGAAAACAAAGTTAACTTCAGGTTCCATTGTAAACATGAAAGAATTACTCAGGGGTGTGGGAAGGAATATTTCCTTTGATTTTCAGAGGAGTCAGATGGAGCCCAGATTAAGGAGAGACAAATTTGATCCACATTCCTTGTGCCTAAGGCATGCTAGGGCACTCGCACCCCCTCCCTAGTGCCGCTTTCCTCTCTCCCTTCTGCAGCAGATGGCAGGGAACTGCTGGGCTGCTGCAGCAGGGGGCTCCGCTCCCTCTCACCCCTCGCTCCATCTGCCTTCCAGGTACGTCACCATGTGGCGTGTGGTGATCGGGAGTTTTTACGGGGTATATTGCAAACTGCAGGGAAAGAAAAGTGTTTGAAAGTGGCTTTTAAAATATCACGCAAGTTTTTTAACAATGCAGTGCATTAACAGCTTGACCACAGTGCTATTAAAATTTACCATATACTTGCAAGCATTATTTAACTGCCACAAGAGTACTCCTCCATACTTGTTTTTAGGATGAAAGGCTCTCCTAATTCTTTGTTTCTTGGGACAGAAATCCCCAGAGCAGCCAGTGAATTTGTATCATAAGTGGATGACAAAAGCACATCTGACTGCAAAGGCAAAAAGTGTTCTGCCAAAAACCAGTGACTGACAAAATGTATTCCCATAAAGAAAAAGCTCTTTGGGTTAAAGCTACTCCAAGCATGCACAAAAGCACATCAGTAGCATCTGTCAACCTTATGAAATGCATTTGTAGCCTCGCTCCCTAAACAAACATGACATACACTATTGTAATGTCTGTCTTTTAACAACCTTTGAAAGCTTTGGCCAGCTTAAAAAAAAAAATTGCAGTTATTAAGAGGTACCAAGGATATAAAATGACTAGATATTTTTGTGAAAAAGGCAGTTAAAAAAAAAAAGAAGCCCACATTAGTGCTCCTACTGAAGAAAGTACCTAATTTGGGACTGGCATTTCTTCAAAGACAACAGTCACATAAAATTGCTCAAGTATGGTCAACAGACTTCCGAAAACCCGTGGGTTAGGTGGTACCCAATCAACAGGGGAACTGTGTGCATGAATGATCTAGGGAACCTAAACGAGCCAGGTTACAGGTTAGAAGAAAATTTGAGCTAGAAGTGACTTTTTGAGGGGAAAAAAAAAAAAAGCAGAAAATGCAGCAACAGAAAAGGCTGCTTTCCAAAACTGTGAGGTTCTGACAAAACTCAGAAGCTGCTGGAGTCTGTGAATATCATGAAAATGGCTAAGAATTATTGACCCTGTTAGAGGAGGAAACAGATTAGCAGCACATCTCAAAAAGGAAAGAATAGAGAATGCTGAAGCCACATTGATGGGGAAAGCACTTAATCAAGGAGACAGCAAAAGAACTGGAGTGTGAAGAAGACGGTTAAGCCATGCCTATGCCGGCATGAGAACACCATTCTACAGGCTGACCCCTGAGCCCAAATTATGAGCAAAATATGAGTCACTCCATTGTCCTGTACATCTCAGAATCAGATAGACGGTAACACATTACCTTTCTGACGTAAGAAACAGCATCTTCCTCAGTGTACACTTCTGCACTGACCCCCCCTCTCCTGCGTCGGGCTTTTACCACTGGGTTGGGAGGAGGAGGGGAAATCTCATCGTCATGAGAATCAGACTGGGAACTGGATTTCTGCCGAGCCAGTATTTGTTTGCATTCTTCCTGCAAGGCAAAAAGAGACAATGAAACATCTCTTAACCATGTAGCTAACTTGCTGAATATACTCGATCCATTCTTCTTTTACGACTATCAGCAACCCCTTCGCTTCTACATTTGGATGACTGTCAATCTACACACATACTGTTGAAAGAAAATTAAAAATTTCATGTGAGCAGCATGAAGGACTGATGCTAACTACAATGTGTGTACAGGTACCATCACTCCAATACCCGAGCTGTTCAACTCTTCCTTACACATAATGGAAAGCAATGTATTATAAACCGCAGACATATCTTTGCAGCTACTACTGGCTAAGAAAGCAAAAGAATAAACCTCTTCTGCTTACTCTCCAGCATCGCAGCTGTTATTTTCTCAGTTGGCTTGTACATATCCTTGTCTCTCGTACAGAGAACATATCAGAAGTCACACATCAATGTATTAGATAGGTTTCTTCATCTTGCTTTGCTTTGCAGGCTTACTATCACCAGAAAGAACAAAGATGCTCCCTACTCCAGAATTTCTGCCACAAAACAGATTTACAATCAATGGGACTACTTCCAAGTAAATAAGATCTAAGGTAGGCTCCAGAGGACTATGAAAAATGATGGCTGGCCTAGCACCAGCTGGCCAATAGGGAGGTTATACTCCAAATTTCACACTCATGGAATGCAGAACAAAATATGAAGGGGAATCCCTGAAGAGATAGTAACAAGAGCAGGAAATACTATAGAAAAACTTCAAGAAAGGATGTTGGAGTTGCAAGACTTTGTCGATTCATACACTGAATTATTTGACTTGTAAAGAATTGAGACAAACAACATTACTCATAATTATAGTATTTTCCTCCTATTCTTCAGCTTCCTGGGACCGAAGGGAAAGCACACAGGAGCGCAATTTGCCTTGCATCACCCATGTCTATCAGCCAAAGGAACGGGGATCTGTCTGCTCATTCCCAGCCCACTTCCTTGCCACCTGGGTACCACCTCAGCCTGCTCACAACACACCACACTGCCTTTGCTACCTCTTCAGAGCCTTCTTAGCTGGTTCCTTCTAGTCTTTGCTGACCCTGCCTAAGACAGGGGAGAACTGGAGACGGGATGGATCCCATGTCCTGCCCTCAGCTTGTCTGACACAGGAAACCGAAGAGCACGTGCAGGAGAGACATGAGCATCATAAGGAGGTGAGTTGTCCTGTGCAGCAGTAGTCCAGTAATTTTATTTGCTGGCATCTATTACATTGTCATAGGCATAATCCACACCCTGATAGTCTCAGGGTTATGTTGATCCACGTACACATAGCCAGCTATCATCCGACAACTCCCTGAACAACTCCAGTATTTTTGAGACAATTCAGATTAGCAGCGTTGCAGGCTATCCAAAAGAAAAGGCAGTAATGCTGAGGTCCCTGTGCACCCCATAAAACCAGCGTTCCTTTGACAGGGATGCCAGAACCTGGCCTGTGTCTTACACAGTTTATTTCCAGTAAGACTTTACAATCAGAGCTAATATATGGAGTCGGTGTAGGAGGGAGGATCTGGGAGCACCCGCGCTAGACATGTGGCAGATCACCAACATAGCCAGTTGGTCTCATTGACAGAGGAAATGAGTTATAGTTAACTCATCAGGTATGACACCAGAAAAGAGCGGTATAGAAAACTGGCACAAGTTCACAATTTTTAAGCTTGCAAGAAAAACAGATGATTAATATATGTTTTGCCATTGATGTTTACAAATGTCTGACAAATCCAGTCATGCCACTTGTCTTTCCTGGTCTTATTCCAGTTTCTTTCCTCACCATCAATGACATTGCCCCTCTCATTAACCTAAGGAGCCTTTGACACCAACCTTTGATGTATTATTGCTACTTGAAATAAATAACTAAATAGTATTTCCCATGCTGCATAATTCAAAGTAACAAGTCACACATTCTTGTCTTGATTAAGGGACTACTGAAATATTTGAAAGACAAGTACAGAGATAAAATGTAGAGGGCTGGCTGAAGATCTGACTTTTCAAGGTCCTGACCCGCCTCAGAAAGTGCCCAGTTCTTTCTGAGATTGGTATTTTTTTTAAATTGGAATTAAAACACCACAAATCCTGGGCCATAACAGAGTTGAGCTAGGTGTTGTAACCAAAAAACAGAAAAAAAACTGATTTCAGATGTATTAAATCCTTACAGAAACTTTTCCTTTCCAATTCAAATTTCAAATAGCAGCACTGGATATGTAAAAAATGACTCAGCTAGATCTTCCTATCGTGTAGAGAACTGCAAGTCCTATTTAAGCATTCTCATCAACTTCTTCC